CGGAGTCCTACAACTTCAAATTAAACATTTTAACACCTCCAAATTCCAAGGTATGGCTTACCGATTTCCTACCAGATTTTTTCAAACATTTCGTGTTTTTACCAACCAACTTTATGCGAATAGGACGCAGGATTGTTAAAATAATGTTTTTCAAACTGTTAATTTTTTTAAAAACACAGAAAAAAGCTTTTTTCTATCAATTTGTCCATAAAATCCTTCCTTTCACACTACTCTGCTACCAGTCATGGTACTCACTTCTGGTATAATCGTGTTCTCGAGGGCTATCTGCTATAACCGTTCTTAACTTAGAAGTGATAGACTACAGGGAAGGCAGTTAGTCAACACCACTCTCCGCAAATCTTTGGCAACTGTTTATTCAAGTGAAATTGATTGTCACATAATACTGAAAGGGCGAGCATGTTCGGTGACGGGATTCGAATCCTCGACCTGTAGATTGCGAGTCGAGCGCCCTAACCACCAGGCTTTACCAGATCCAGCTTTTAAATCGTAGTTCTCTTAACACAGACTTCCTACGGTCAGCAGCCAATTTATTATTATTTTAACCACGTTGATTCATTATTTTAAAATAAAATTATGTGCCTAAGAGTTGTTTTTCTACGAATTAGGCAATTATTTTCAAAGGAAGTTTAGCTGATAAAATTTTCGACAGGTTTATTTCTCAATATTTAAATAGTTTCTGTTGAATATGTTTAAATTTCATATAACATATGGGCCAGGCTTTCTTAAGTGTACAATTTGATTTCGTCAGTGTTCTGGAGCAAATTTATCTGGGTATGTAACTCAAATAAACATATAATAATCTCTAAATGATAGACGATGGACAGATCTTTCCAAACATATATAATATGTTGAGTTTGTGTTATTTTTTTCCAGCAAACCAAGGAAATAAACAATGGTGGGGTGTTAAAAGTAGCATTTCGCCAGCAGAAAAATTTAATTTAAATGCAATAACACAAACACAAAAATTCTAAGTATGACTCAAGCTTTTATTGTGATTAATTAGTTAACATTTATGTTTCGAAAATTTCTTATTAGCTGATTGTCCCATTACTTTCTTACATATAAAAATATCCAAAATAATATGTCGCCGTAATCATATGTTCTCCTTTACGGTTGTTTTTTTTTCAAGACAATAATTAAAAACTTTTGAGTAAATAAAAAGTTTAGAGTCTAAACTTAATCCGGGAAGTATATAATTTGATTTGATCATACCCCACACAAGAGATATTTTGGGTATGTCCATTTCGAGCTTGTAATAAAATTAGTTTTTTTAAGCACGTGATCTCCTTTACGCATATATCTAGTGTAAAAATTCTAATTATGTCATTTTGTTATATCGTTTTACATAAGAATCAAGACATCTGTTGTTATCAATAACTGAAAGGGTAAAAGTAAATTGCATTCTTTAAAACAAATCACTGAACATGAAATTGCGTGAACTCCTTTACGTGTTCTTCTTTACTTCAGTTTTGCTTCAGAAGGGAATATATATAGAGTGCATAATGC